GGAGGATCACTTGAGGCCAGGAGCTCTAGACGAGGATGAGCACCATATCAAGAACTTCCCTCCAGTCATGATGGTGCACACCTGTAGTCCCAGCTACTTGGGGTCTGAGGGAAGGGGGTTGCTTAAGACTGGGAATTTGAGGTTGTTGAGAGCTATGATGATGCCACAGCACCAAACAACAGGTAGAGACTATCTGAAAACAAAAACAACAAAAAAATACCCAGCAGAACCTTTCTTGACGTGTGACCTGTCTCTGGCCTTTGCTATGATAAACATTCCTGCATTGCGTGTCTTCACATACAGCATGCACATATCTGTGTAGAGGAAGTGCTTGAAAGTGAAATTACTAGGTCAACGGGCATAAGCTTTTACAATTCTGATAGTTATTGCCAAATTGTGCAGATTACATTCCCCTTAGCCACATAGGAGAGAATCTATTTACCTGTGGAACTTAGACAATAACTCACTTCAGAGTTTCTAGGTGAAGGGGCTGGGCCTCCGTATCAGGAACCTCAGATGGGGATTCTGAGTCTGAATCTCTCCTGAGTTTCTTTCCCCTCCAGCTTCTCCCTTTCCCAAGGGATTTGCCACAGTGCTGATGAGCCTGAGACCATCCAGTCCACGGCCTGTACTAGGGCTCCCTGGGTCCCTGCAGGATTCTATCCTCCTTTCAAGTCATGATTAGAAAGCTGGTGTTGTCAGATGCTGGAGCACAGGCCACACCAGGGTTACACACACAGAGACAGCATGTGGAGAAGGCCTGGAAGAAAACAGGGGACAATGGAAAATGGTTAGCAGTGGTGAGATACTAATTTTTAAAAAATGCATCATATTTTTACATTTTGACATTAAAGACAAAACAGATAAAACTGCCATCTCTAACATAACCCATTAATCTGCCTATGGCTCCCTGATGTGACCTTGTGTATAACTGTTCTCTGTGACTGGCTCAGCAGGTTGGCAGGGTTGGCCAGGGCCTGCCAGTTCTGGCAGGGGTCTGGGGTTGGGAGGGCCATGTAGCAGTGGCAGGCATGCCCCACCTTCTTTTATTCTGGTCGGAGCTCTGCAGATGCATAGACCCTCACCTCCTCCCTGTGAGGTGCTGAAGAGCAAGATGTTCCATTGCAAAGTCTGCTGGAACCAGGAGAGATTTAGTCTACAAGTGAGGGCTGTGGTCAACCCTGTCTGTGGGTGGGACCTCTTAGTCATGGCTCAGATCTACCTTGGGGGCTTGAAACATAAGGGGCATTCAATAAATATTTGTGAGAGGAAAAAAGAAAAGAAGGAAGGTTCACCCATGTGTGTTATTTTAAGAGCCTCGAGGACTAGGCCCACCAGACACTCCTTCCTTCCCCACGGATAACTTGATGTTCTCCTTCAAGAGAACATCACTTTTTCATTCAACGTATCTTTTTGGTTTGTTTGTTTTGTTTTTTTCTTGAGACCAAACCTCACTCTGTCACCCTGGGTAGAATGCCCTGGCATCGTAGTTCACGGCAACCTCAAACTCTTGGGCTTGTGCAGTCCTCTTGCCTCAGCCTCTTGAGTAGCTGGGACTACAGGTGCCTGCCACAATGCCCACTTGTTTTTCTATTTTTAGTGTAGATGGGGTCAGGCTGATCTTGAACTCCCGAGCTCAGGGGATTCACCTACCTTGGCCTCCCAAAACACTAGGATTATAGGTGTGAGCCACCGTGCCTGGCCCTCAATCAACAAATCTTTACTGAGCACCTACTATGTGCAGGGACATTTCTAGGTATTAGGAATATAGCTATGAATAGAACAGTCTAAAATCATGTCCTTGTGATGGTTACATGCTGGAGGGAGGGAAGAGGCGAGAGACAAACAAGGAATTTATTAGGTGTTTGCATTTATAAGACACACTTAGTGCATGCATATATACTTGGTATATATTATAAATACTGTACAAGAGTTTTCCATGAAGAGGGAACCACACACGCAGAGGCTTTAGAGCCTTTTCTGTATTTTAGTTTTTCTCCCTTGAGCTAGATCATAAGCCACTTGAAGGTAGAAATAATGTTTTGTTTGTCTTCAGAAATAATTTGATGATCTTCCACTGTATACCATGTTGAACCGCTTAGATTTTGTATTACTTTTAGACACGTAAAAGGTTTTAAAAAATCATCTGATCTTATACCTCAGAAGCGGGACACATAGCATATAGGTGGACACATAGTAGGGCTCAGTGATTATTTGTGGTTGAGTATTTGATCGTGACATGTTTGAAATATCAGGGTCCATTTTGTTTTTTAAAGATTACTAATCTCATCGTTTTACTAATAGGTTGTTCGTTGCCAGGCCAGGTTTATTTACTATCACCTGAAGGGCCATATGTTCTTTTTCAGACCAGTTTTAACTGTAGAAATCCCACCATAGAATGGACCTCAGATTTCCAGTTATACGAGATGACCACACTCACCACCTGTTTCTTTGTTAGCCTCCCCCAAGCCCCTGAAGGCCCCTCAGCTAAAAGAGCAGGATTTGCAACTTTTTTTTTTTTTTTTTTTTTTGGTTAGGAAGCACTTGGAAGGTATTCATTTCACATATGAAAACCCAGGGATAATATTAAAGTATAAACAGTTGTACCTGCAGTGCAAGCAGTGAAAATGACTCCACGACAAGAAATAGAGTTCGGTCCTCTTGTTACTTGGCTCACTTTGTGCGACTTTTTGCCCCCCATTCAGCTGTGGGCCCGCAGATGCACGCAGGAGATTACACTCAGCCAGCCCTTGAGAACACGCTTTTGTTTCCTGGCCAGCTGAAGAGCACGTTGTAGGGCATATTCAATTTTGTCGCTGTAAAAAAACATCGTAAGAAAGAAAGGAGAAGAATGGTGCACATTTTTAAATAATACAAGGTCAAAATGTTTATTTATTTTTGGGGGGGGTTAGTTCTTGTTCATTTTCATGATTTCTAGGTGATGAGCTTTCGCTTCTGCAGAGCTAAGGAGCAAGGCTTGAGCACAGGCTAGAGAGGAGACAGACAGGGGAAGGGCAAGTCCAAGAAGGGGGGAGAGCCAGCCAGTCATTGGAAAGTGAAGGAGTTTCCTGCCGTACCTCGCAACAGTGAAAGGGTTGTTGTGCAGCAGGTGGGTAAGCCTGAAAGCAAGTAGGGTGAGAGAAATGTCCAAGTGTTCATTTGGCTGGAAGCAGAGAGGTCACTTTTCATAGGCAGTTAAAATACATTTGGTAGCAAACAGCTGTCCCCACCTCTGCTGAGGGTTGGGGAGCATTTCGAAACGCGTACCGTTGTGTTCTGTTGTACTGGGCACAGAGAAAGTGAAGTCATGTCCTTCAAAACTTGTCTTAGAACAAGCATTTGGGTTCTCTATGACTTTGAGCACACACAGTAAGCCCTCTCAGTCAACGTTTGTGGTTGAAATGCACATGAATCCACACACAATCCCTCTTCCCCCTGGTATTTGAAGTATGCTGTGTGCAGGCCTCGCACAGAATGACCCTCTGGGATCTTGTTTCCTTTTTCACTTGCTGGCTTGCTCTTTTACTACACCTGCCATGCAGCCTCTGTCCCCAGACTGCCTCCCTCCTGCCCTTTGAGCCAACACTTCATCTCAACCAACTTAAGGATAAGGGGAAGCTAGTTTTCTCTCACATTCTGCTAGGTTGGTTCAAAGTTCTATTTTTGTAGATAAAAGCAACATTGCCTGGACTGTGGGTTAAATGCAAGTTTAGTGAGCCTTACTAGTTCAACTGCCACATCACAAACCGATGGTTGTTATCACCTTCATTGCAGGCATAGTGCCCAGAGGGAATTAATTCCTCCACATGATCTAAGTGGAAAATGTCATTATGACTGTTTTTCAATGTGTTTTATACTTGGGCTTCCTTTTGTTTTTTAAAATACTTTTGTCTGGCTTGGTGCTTGTAGCACAGTGGTTATGGCGCCAGCCACATACACCCAGGTTGGCAGGTTCGGACCTATCCCAGGTCAGCTAAACAATGACAGCTGCAACAAAAAAGTAGCCAGGCATTGTGGCAGGTGCCTATAGTTCCAGCTATTTGGGAGGTTGAGGCAAGAGAATCGCTTAAGCCCAACAATTGGAGGTTGCTGTGAGCTATAATGCCACGGCACTTGACCGAGGGCAACCTAAAGAGACTCTGTCTCAAAAAACAAACAAACAACTTTTGTGTGTTTTAATTAGGCAGTACAGGTGGTCCCCAAGTTATAAACACCTAACTGACCTTCAACTTGCACTTATGAACAGAGGCTATTACAGGTCACTGGTAAATGTACCTGTTTCATTCAACTTCCAGACAAATTCAACTTAAGAACAAACCTATAGAACCTATCTTGTTGGTAACCTAGGGACTGCCTGTAGTCAAATGGAGCAAAATTTTAAAGGGTCAAAAGATGAAAACTCTCCTCCCCCCTCCTCTCCCTCTGCTTAATTCCGTCCTCTAAGGTAACCGGCGTACCAATGTCTGTGTGTCCTCCACACGTTTTGTACAGACAGATACACACTGACATACACATCCATTTCCTTCTCTTTTTCTTTTCCCACAAAACAGAAGCAGAGCATACACATTGCTCTGCACCTTGCTTTTTTTTTTATCACTTGATACATCTTGGAGATCATCCCGTATCAGTTACTGAGATTTATTTCATCATGTATTCCAAACACACAGGAGCAGCCCACGTTATGCTAATTTCTCTTTCCTCGGTACTTGGCAGTTGATTTTCATCTGTGTTTTCCTCTTGCTGGGGAATGATTTCTACCACAGGATGGGCCAGCCACATTCTTTGAATTGCCTTCCAGATAAAATATCTTAATAAGCATTAGTGCTTTTGCCTGGAAGATAAGTAAACAATTCTATGTGATTGGGGCTCTGCAAGCACAGTGGTGTCAAACTATTGTTAATTTAAGCCACATCCTGAATAAGGTCCCTTAAGGTTATAGAGTGAGGACTCCAGGAATTGATCTGTCTTCTGAGGCTGTGGCATGTTTTCTCTTGTTCCAGAAACTAGAATGAATCGAAGCATTCCTGTGGAGGTTGATGAATCAGAACCGTACCCAAGTCAGTTGCTGAAACCAATCCCAGAATATTCCCTGGAAGACGACTCAGAACCACCTGCTCCAAATATAAGAAACATGGCACCCAACAGCTTGTCTGTACCCCAAACCTCTCACTATTCCCCTGGAGACCTTTCTCAAGCTGCTCCGCCCCTGAAGCTTGCAAATTGCCGGCAGCCTGTGTCCCAGCAGGTCACCTGTCTGCGCACTAAAGTTCTGGAGGAGAGTGAAGACAGCTTCTGCAGAAGACACCCAGACCCAAGCACAGATTTTCCCTCGGGCTCCTCTACAACCAGCGAGCCTGAGTCTGAGTCTATGGTTGGAGCTGTCCCCCGAGACCATCAGTTTTCATTTATGGAAAAGCGTAATCAATGGTTGGGATCTCAGCTTTCAGCAGCTTCTCCTGACACTGGCCATGACTCAAACAAATCAGACCAAAGTTTACCTAATGCCTCAGCAGACTCTTTGGGAAGCAGCCAAGAGATGGTGCAACGGCCCCAACCCTACAGAAACCGAGCAGCCCTGGATGTGCCTACAATAGACACAGGGTATGATTCCCAACCTCAGGACGTCCTGGGCATCAGGCAGCTGGAAAGGCCACTGACCCTCACCTCCTTGTGCTACTCCCAAGACCCCCCTAGACCTCTCAGGTCCAGGGAGTTCCATCAGTTTGAACCTCAGAGGTATCCAGTGTGTGCACAGATGCTGCCTCCCAATCTTCCCCCACATGCTCCGAGGAACTATCATTGTTATTGTCCTGGAAGTCCTGACCCCCAGGTGCCATGTAAGTGACCTTCACCTCCACTGGACATTCTGGGCTGGGTGGCCAAGAAAACAGTTTGATTCCCATCACTAGATCAGCAGACAGGTCAGAACATGGGGTAGGGCCATTCTGCTTCTCACAGGGCTTTCCATTTGCAAGGGGCCTTTAGAGAATGCTTTTTTAAGCATAAAGTTTGTCTCACTTGGAACTTCCCTCTCTAGAAAACTTTAATGACAAAACAGATTCTCCTACCTGGGTTAGTTTAACTGAAACTTGCCTAGAGGCAAGGAGATGACCCAAACGATTTCTAGAAAACGTATCAGGGTCTTCTGTCTCTTCAAGTTTCTTTCCCATCTAGGGCTTGGCAGAGAAAGGGCTGCTAGTAAAAGACAACCACCCCCACCCCCCAAATCCCAGAAAGTGCCCAGAGTGTCATTGAGACTCTCTGATTCATGCCATCACATGAAGACTAACTGCTCCTGTGATTCTGTTGCTTAAACCTCTTTGGAGACATAAGTCACCCACATCTACCCTCATTCCAGCCACACCCAAGGACTGGCAGGCGCTGACTTGTCCCGCTGTGTCACATCTCTATTCATCCGCCCAGGCTTTTCTCCTATCCGGGATGGTCTTCCCCTTCTTGTGCATTTGACCCAGTTTCTATACAATTTTTAATAATGTTATTGAGATCTAATTTTCATACTGTACAGTTTACCTTTGACCCATTTTAAGTGTATAAATTGATCAGTTTTATGACATTTACAGAGTTATACAATTAACATCACATATATCTTTTAAGACTTAGCTCAGCTGTCTCTTCTGGAAACCTCTTCAGGTCACTCTCTTTTAGACCCTCTGTCTCCCTTGTGCTCTGGCTCTGCTGGGACACCTGACACCAGTATGACATCTAATACACTTGTCTTCTCCCCCTCCAGACTGCAAGCTTTTGCACAGGTGGACTTTCAACCCATAATTCCCCAGCATTTAGCACAACACCTGGCATATACTAGACTTTCAATAAACTACTTCTGAGTGAATGAATAATGTGTATCAGTTCAGTAAGCCTCTCTGAAAGTGATAAAGTCTTAGCTTGAGATAAAAGGTCCATCACCATTCTTGATGTTAAATCTCTGCTGAGGCCACTGGAAAATAATAATAAAGCTTTACAGATGGAACACAGGGCTAGGAAATGTGATTTTTTTATAGCAAATAAAAACTGAGCAAAACTAGTCTCAAGTGGTATAAGAAGAGTCTGACCAAAGGCCTGGTGCTGGGCGGCACCTATGGCTCAAGGAGTAGGGCACCAGCCCCATATACCGGGGCTTGTGGGTTCAAGCCCAGTCCCGGTGAAAACTGCAAAAAAAAAAAAAAAGAAAGAAAGAAAAGAAACTCACCAAAGACCTGGTGCCCAGCTTTAAAATAAATTATAGAAATAATCACAAATGCTGTAATCAACCATCAGTTATATATTGGTACTGTACACTTAATATAAAGCTTCCTGAAGTGAATGAAGCAATAGAGTAATTCATAAATTT